TTACATTGCATAGATAGAGACATGTAGAAAACCTAAGCAATTTAGCTTAAAACTTTATAATTTTTATGTTCAAGATACTTAACCAATATGAGGAATTTCATTAGACACTAAAATATTCATAAAACCCAAACAAAGACCAACATTTTTAATTTAACGGATATCCTAAAACATAATTTTGGTTGTTGAATTCCAGATTCAAAATGTTATTGAAAAAGAAGAAAACAAATGGTAAAACTGCCCTAGAAAACTAAATAATGGTGCTACTACTATGAATAATAGGGCATTACTAAACTTGATTTCATTTGAAAAGAGATACAAAGACTTTCTGAAAGTAGAATGTTCCAGTAAGTTTGTTACTCAAGATGCAAGTGTATACAGTATTTTGCATGAATCAAAAATATGCCTGAGCAATGACTCTTTATAGCCAAGAACACAGCTTGTGTATGAAGGCCCAAGTGTTAGGTATTCTATTCCCAGGGACATGTCCATTGTGCTATCGTGTAATACACAGGTATTCTGTGTATGGCAACATTGCTAGTGCAAGGTCTGCTTTTCAAGGAGAGAAGAAAGGGCTCTGCCAGCGATGTAAGAATCCTATGAGAAATGGAAAACACCAAGGGCTATACAGGGGTGCTTTGTAGATGAGATAAACCTCTAATGGATTTGACTGGTAGAAGCAGAAGAGAAAGTTGCTCACTTGCTATGTGTTCACTGAAAGATGAAATCGTAGCCAGAGGAGTTGCAAAAAAGGATGTTTCCCACATGGACTGAGAAAGATGGTGATGGAAATCCAGCTTGGTTCTGAGCAGAGTTTCTGTGTAAACCCACCTTGAGCTAAAAGGCATTCCCCTCCCCCTTTAAAGTATCTTCAGGGAGTAATTAGCTGTCCAATCATTGGTAAGCCCTAATATATTTGGGTGATTTTTTTTTTTTTTTGCCTGGCCTAGGGTGCTTCTATATTTTTATCAATAGGGTACAATAACTAAAACTGAGGAAAACCTATGATTTCAGCTTTCAGCATGGCTGACCATTGGCTCCCATGCCATCGCTCTTGTTTCATCAAGAATGTGGTCCTTCAGAGTTGACCTTCTAAGAAAATTTATAAAACTGGAGAACCTTATAACTGCAATTTTGAGTTCATGCCCCTCATTATTACCCTAGAGACTGGGATTCTTCGAAGTTTAAGCATTGCCAGGAATCACACAGCCAGGGCTAGAAGCCGTGGCTGTGTGTACACTATGTCTCAAGGTCATGCTGGTCAGACCACGCTTGGTTCAAAACATGAACCTAAGGGCATGAAACTTTACACTTGTCACTGGCTTGTGCTTAACTCTTTACTTGCACGCCTGCCCATATGCATCTTTTTCTAAGAAAACATTAAACTATAATATACTTTAAGTCTCTGTCAACATTTTGTTCAATCTTGGGTAAACAGACAAAGGATTACTATTCTATACTACACTTATTAATTGATATGAAAAATTATTGGGACCAAATGTATTCATTCTGTGTAACACTTAGAGAAAAAAAATCCAATATATATCATAAACATACGTGAAAATTTTGTGAAATAACAACACAGTGTGGATATAGTTAAGATTTTATGTCAAATATTGCTAAATTCACCTAAATAACAAATGTAAAAAAGATGTTTTAATGCTGACTTTATATTTTATACTAAAACATGAGATCCTTTTCAGAGAAGATCTTCTATAATATTACTTTCCTATTTAGTTATTAACCTAAATGATGTTATTCCACTGGATTTCATATGTGTTGCAGATCCTGCTGGGAAATCATAAAACTGGGCTCATTTAGGAAGAGGCAACGTGGCTATATCAGAAAAGCTGCTATATGTGAAACCTCACTTTATGCCTGTTGAAATTTTTGTATTTCAGGTCTCCCAGGGACGTGTCCATTGTGCTATTGTGTAATTTTATCAGCATGAACTTCTGCTGAATATTTTTCCTTCTTTTCAAAATCCATATTTTAGTAGAGCTAACTTCGAAACTTAATGTTGCAACATCTGTGCCCATACACCTGGGAGCCATAGAAGATGTATCCTGAAGATTATCTACATTTTCTAATCTTATAAAATGCTACAAAAAGAGAGAAAAAGGTTATATATTTTTCCCGGTCTGGATTTTTTTTTTTTAAGGAATCACTTTCTGCCTCCTTAAAAGGATTCTTACAATAAAGGAGAACGAATACTTCTAAAGCTATAAAGAATATCTTTACAAATGTAATAAAATATTCATTTGTTTTGTTTACAGATAATTCTTAATACATATGTACAGCTTTCCATTAAGATACTATTTTGTGAATACAAAATCTGGAGCTATAGTCTCAAAATGTTTTCAAACAAGACTTTTTAATAACTAAATAAAAAGAAAGGAAAAAAATTGCTACTTTGAGTTTATTTACTACTTTTCTTTTGTGGATCTATCAACAGCTCAATGGTTTCTTTTTTAATAAAATAGAAGTTATGGTTTTATTTATTTCTCAAATGCAAGATTGAGATACTGACAAACAAGAAAGTGTTTATGAATGGAGAGAAATGCCTTCCACATGGCTTCCTTCTATTAGTTGTTTTATCTCTTTAGAATAAAATATGTGGCAATGTAAAGAGTTTAGAGCACATCAAAACTGCCTGCCTGAGATGGTGTTGCCAATCAAATGGGTAGAACCAGTTGTTGTTGAAGGATAATGTAGAATATGTGATTTTCTACAGATTCAAAATAGTGAAGAAGGATGATGAATGGACTTAGGGAAATCACATGTGGATTTTCTTGACTTTATCATCAATGTATCAAATTATGATAAATACTAAATACTTATGGAGTGCATTCTATGTGTCACGCATTGTTTTAATTGCTTTGCACATTTTACTCATTACATTTTCACCATAAATATATGTGATGGGTACTTTTGCCATCGTCATCTTACAGATGAAGAACCTGAAGCAGGTAGGTTAAGTAACTTGTCCAAAGTCACCCAGCTTATCAATGGTGGAGCAGAGCTACTGCAGAGCACCATGAGTCTACATTGCCTCCTTTTCCTATGAGCACTTTTCACATAGGGAACAAAATAGCTTTTCACTCTTACTTCGATGCAAAGCATAAGATGACAAATAGTTTTTTAAAATATGTTTTTAAAAATATTTCTATCTTCATTCCAATCTATTGGCTTCTTGACCTGAATGCTGCCTTAATATTTACTGAGTGTTCATTCCTCTTGAGTTTTCAGAAATCATTATAATGCTCACTTATTTTTTAAAACAGTATAAAATTATTTCAAATTTAAATACCAGAAATATTCAAGGTAGGGCCAAGTGAAATATCTATGATAAAGATGGGAGAGAAAATGTGGTTAATTCAAGACTACCAGCATTGGTAATCATCTTACAGTGAAAAGTCAAATTTTAACAAAGAAATTCAACCTCATAGTTGCTAAAAGCAAGGAGCAGAATTTCACCTTGCCTTTTTCCCACATGCTATTCCACCATTATCAGAAAAAGACTGGCATATTTACAAAGAAGAGAGGAAAGGTGGGTATTTACTTCTTCAGTCATCAGAGTAGTGTTCAATGCTTGGGAAGGCTCTGGGAGAAGGGAAACATGTCAATGTGTGCTGAATGCCAGCTTTTTTCTTATAGGTCAAGTCAAAAAGAGGAAAACGTACAGCTGTTCGATGTTCCTCTTTACCATTTGCATTTCTTGAAATGCAATAAACAAAGCAAACAATTTCTGCTAGAGAGAAATTAAGCTAACACGCACAGCATTGTCTATTTTACATTTTAAAACTGCAATTGAAGAGAGCAATACCATGTATCTGATTCTGAGTAAGGGTTGTATCAATTCTCAGTTATCAATATTAGACATGAAATAACTTCAAATATACCCTTTATTTGACTTGATGGGAATGTGGAGTCGTGAGTCTGAACTACGATTTGCAATAGAGAAAAGTTTATTAGAGGCATAGACATAGAAGAATGTCGTACTGTAAATGCAGTCAAAATTTTAAAAGTGTCAAAATCTCTAACATGGTTTAGCTATTAAACTGTGTCAATGCCCTTGCCAAGAAGAGTTCATAATTTGGAAGCTGTAGTTGCTATTGACCTGATTTTACAATTGAGATCATGTCTGAGTTTTAATTTGGAAACAAAATTGATCACTGTGTTCTTTAAACAAGACCTGTCAAGTTATTACTCTGCAACTGCTTTGAAAATACATATTTATTTAAGAGCAGTATGATTTAGGATATACTGTAACAAAAATTATTTCATGAGCTTCTTTTAAGAGATTGCTTTATATTTAAACATTGAATTCTTTAAGTTCTTCAATTAATCCTGAATTACTCAGAATAATTTTTTAAAATATATTTTAAAAAATATTTCTATCTTCACTCCAATACGTTGGCTTCTTGCCCTGCATGCTGCCTTAATATTTACGGAGTGTTCATTCCTCTTGAGTTTTCAGAAATCATTATAATGCTACTTATTTTTTAAAACAGTATTCAATATGATTGCATCCTAATATTAGCAAACAAACTTGCAATTTAGGTTCATATAACTTGCTTCTTTTACATAAATTGTTTCTTTCATCACTACTATACGAAGGAAGACAGATGAAATCCATACAAAAAGGTCAGTCTATTTGCTTTAAAGCCATTTCAGACTTTTTATGAACTTTATCCCTCTAGCCCATAATTTTGATTTCTTATAGGCTTTCTCAAGACTGTAATTTTAAAAATTTAAATTGAATCTAAATGAATAACAAAAACATCCTTATGCTATACGTAGTTGCTATAAGTCTTCCAAGTATCTTATTTTGCTACTTCTAGATTTTATTCTACTTTCAAAAGGAGATTTGGGGTTAAGGAAATGTTCATTTTACCCCTTTACAAACTGTAATTGCATGAGAATAAATTGATAGTTGAATTCTAGGCAGGAATCCACAGAAACTTTCTATTCTTGATGGGTTAATTTAAGAGCAGTCCTACCTTTTTCACCTTCTTTTTCTTCTTGGTCATCTGTTAATGGAATCACTTCTGATTTCTCCACAATCACTGCATCTTCTTGGTTTGATGCAAGTTCTAAAAAGAGACAGACAGACACTCAGGGATGTCTTAGTTGGAATCATTGAGAGAATACAGAGACTATGGCATAGAAAGTTAGAGTTCTTTCTTCCCCCTTCAAGTTTCAATAGGTACACCAAGTTGAGCACTGTTGTTATCCTCCAGTAATCATTGCTTAACACACACACACATGCCACTCACACACACAGGTATATACAGAAGTCATGGTTCACAGTTTCATCTCATTCTAAGATAACAATATATTTTGGTTTCAGTACCTTCTGTTTCCATATATGAGCTCTGGGATTCTGTTTCAATTTTTATTTCTTTCTTCGTTGAATCATTCTCTTGTCCTGTTCAAAACAGTGATTGAAAAATAAAAGAAATGTGATATGCATGACCACAGCTTCCTGACCTTCAGAAACCATGCTTTAATCGTGCATGGAGAGATAGAGAACAGTTTTGAAACCAAAGTGGAGGGCAAAGATACAATTTTTCTAATCGTCAGATTTATATCAATTATTTTCTGAGAAATATCCTGATAATTTAGGAAAAAATCTTTTTTTTTTGGAAACTGATTTGAAACTGCCATACTTATATAGCTTATCAATGCACAGGATGTGGATAGAGGACACAACCTGGAAATTTTCAAATTTTACAATAATTTCTGGGCTGTATGGGTTAACTACATTTAATTTCCTTTTAAGATACAAATGTTTCCCATAGTGAGGATTCCTAGAAAATGAAAACACTACTCGCACTTTCATTTTTCCATCAACAGAGCATAAAAAACTTGAGTCATGTGTGCACAAGGGAACTGGGGGGATAACAGCTCAGCCATTCTCTTAAGACACATACTAAATACAGCAAAGGTCAGGAGAGAATTCAGCCAACTCTTGATTACTCTTAGGTTGATTATCTAGTAATGGTTTTTCTTCCACACCCCTTGGCTTCTCCTCCTACCCTCCCCTGTAGAGTTTAAAACATTTAAGTGCTCATTAAGAGAGGAAATTGAAATCTGTCCATTTTGCCTCAGGCTAATGAAAGATTTTGTGCTAAGGATATTTAACTATGGAAATTTTTTTTAAAAATTCTAGAGCTAGGGTTGGTTATATATGCAAAGCAGATTGAGAGGAGCGTGGACTCTTTGCCTGAGTCCATCCCTGTGGTGGCGTTATGGTTTCAACTTGTCTCTACTTCTTCCTATAAGAGGATTATAGTTCCCTGTCTGTGACAATGTGACATGCAGTGGCCCTTGTGGGGCAAGTGTATGTTCCCACCACATTGACACAGGTCTGTTCACGTGACTTGTTTAGGAAATGGCACTGGAACAGACATCATGCGTACTGCAACCAAGCAGAAGGCTTCAGATCCATTGTATGTTGCCTGCAGCTCTTTTGCTCCTAATAGACCATGTTCCTTCATCTAGATCCTGAAGGGAAAGCATGTGGAACACAGTCAAGCAGGGCTAAAAAGAGACACAAGCAGCCTTTGTTGTTGAGCCCCCAATGGGATTTTTGGGGTTATTTGTTACTGCAGCAAAGCTGACTTATATAACTCCTCATCTTAGAGTTTCCTCTTTGATACAATTATTTTTAAGCTGCCCATGATACTACGTCCCCTTGATTCATTCTCTGCTAGCAGGACCCAGATAAGGGAAAAATCATGCCTTTTGTGTGATATCCACTCCTCCTGAGCTCAGTTTTAATCAAAAGGATCCAATAAAATAATTAAAACTAAAGCATGTTTATCTATTTGATCACTGAATATAAAAACCTCAAGCGGTTTTTGATGATTTTCTTTCATCACTCCTGAAGTTCAATGAAATGCCATCTTCATGGTTCTGCAAAATATTTCGGTTTTCCCACTTTCTAGCCTCCTGCCTTCTTTCCTCATTTAGGGATATATCATCTGTCTCTTGGATCTTTCGTTTTCTTCTCCTATATTCTATTTTGTGATTTGATCGCAGAAAGGCCTTTTACAATTTGAACTTGATCAAGACCTTTCCACTTTTGAAAAACCCGTTCATCCTCATTCTTCCCCATTGCCACTCAAAGTTGTAAGGTTAGCTGAGAGAAAGGACGAGAGAGAGAGAGAGAGAGAGAGAGAGAGAGAGAAAGAGAGAGACACCGAAGGTCAGGCGAGTAAGTTTATTAGCCTGCCCGGCTGCCCCACCAGTCAGAGGAGGCAGCCTTCAGCTTACAAAATGAGGGGTTTATATGGTGGAGAGAGACCCTGGGGTTGTTTGTTAATTTTACCACATATCATTTAGTGACCAGTTTACAATATAGGAATTTACAAGAGCATGTAACTTAGGTTTATCCTTGTTTCTTGTGACCTTCCCCATGCCACCTGGAGGGCTGTAAGCAAGTCTGGTGACCTTGCTTAGTGCCTAGATAAGGGTCCAGGAATGCAGTTGCAGAGTATTTGGGGTACGTTTCAGCTGCATTGTTCGGGGTGGGGGTGGCAGACCTGGGGCAGCTTGTCCCTAACAAAAGTATGGTCCATGGACAAGCAACATTGGAATTACCCGAGAGCTTTTCAAAAATGCAGAATTTCAGGCCTCATCACAGATCTACAGAATCAGAGCCTGCATTGTATAACAAGATGTCCATGTGATTTGTATGCAAGTTAAAGCTTGAGAAGCACTGGCCTAGAAGATGTAAGTGAATCTGCAAATTATTGATCCCCATAAAAAATGCCAAACTGTCCCTAGATACTTCACACGTATTATCTCTAATCATCACATTACCCCTGGAAAGTAAGTGCTGTGATCTCAGTTCTGCTTTCAAAAATCATAACCAGCTCTACCTGACTACAATCCCTCTTTTCTTTTTGTTTTGCCTAGAAATGTCTTTATTTTGCTTTTTAGCTTTTAAAATTGAGATCTACTTGCATACAGTAAAATGTACAAAACTTTACATCTTTATGAATTTTCCTGTGTAATTACCATTCAGATCAAAAACGATTCTCATACCAGTGGCTTCCTCCTGTTCATACGCCCACCAGGTAACAGTGTGGTGTGTTTTAGAAATTCATTTAAATGTGACATGTACCATATGCTCTTTTGTATTTTAGGTTTTTTTATAACTGTTGTCTGTGAAATTAATTCCAGTTGCTGTGTGCATCAATTGTTCATTCTTTTTCATTGATATATACTATTCTACTGTCTGCATATACTACGTCATATGAGTGTTGAATTGTTTTCAATTTGGTGCTGTTATGAATAACACTGCTAAAATAAAACTGCTTGAATGTTTCTTTTGGCAACATATTTTAATGGACTCATATTCCTTGGGTATAAACCAAGTGACAGAGAACAAGTAGGTTATATAAGAGAGAATATATATGTTTAGCTTTACTAGATCCTGCAAAACAGTGTTCTAAAGAATTTGTTCTGTTTTACACTTCCACCAGAAATATATAAGGATTCCATCTGCATCCTTTATTCTTTTGATTATGTCATGCTACTATGGGCCACAAAATATGCAGCAGAAAGCAATTTAAAATCTTTCACCTCAACCCAGTTTCCACCCTTATCACCTTTGGATACTATATAGAATGATGATGACTGAACTATTGGTTATTCATTCTACAATGTATTGAGTGCCACCAGTGGTAAATATGCCTGCTGCTGGAGTAGATCTTAAGTAAGATAGATACAGTGCTTGTCCTCAAAAAGCATACAGTTGCTGGAACCAAGCATTATATGTGAAAAAAATTTCTTTCTATTAAGATATAAAACAATTTCCACTTTCTGAGGAAAAAATCACTTCGAGCAGATTTTTGGATTATGGGAAACTGTGTTGAATAAAGACTATATTAGACAACAAAATGAAGGCTGAAATACTCTCAGTAAATTAAATGAAGCCAGGACATTTAACAAGGATTCATGTAAAAATTCTAAAATCGAGTATATAAAATCAGTCTCAAGAACTGGGATGGGGGGACTTCAACCCCATTTCTGATAAAACTAGGGCCACGGGTTTTGCATTTCAGATCTGCTACAGATAAGTCTGGACCACAGAATGACTGCATGGAGAGAAGGATTCTGTTACAGAAAGTAAAGGCAATATCTTTAATTAATCTCCTGCAATGTCTTGCTTGGAGAGCCATTTCCTGCTATGCAAACAAAGAATGTACTTAAAAATTAAAACATAATATCATTATGCTGAGGGAAAATACTTTTGTAAAATATATATTCAGAAAAACAAAAACTATAGAAAGTGTCTTTGTATTTACCTGAAATATAAGAATTGGTGGGTAAGGAAATGAGAAGATTGAATGAATAGAAAATTGATGGAGACATTAAGAAACAAATAAATGTTTTAGATATCAAACTCGAGTTCACTAAGAAAGCAAGGGTAGTGAGCAAAAGGAAACATGAAATGATGATAGATATAGAAAATAGAAAATAGCAATGAATTTCTAATTTAAGGATTACAGAAAGTCTAAACAGCAACATTTCATCAATCTGAAGGCAACCACTAAGTGACATATTATGAGGTTTAAAAAGATTTTAGAAGGTAAAATGCAATTTCACTTTTTTAAACTACATACACAGGACATGTGTCCTTACACACATTTATATTATCGGGGGCAAAAACTGAAAGGCTGTATCTCAAATGTGGTTGTTGAGATTTAAATTCATAGGATTTTGATTTTGCTAACCTGCATTTTATAACAATTGAATATTATATAATTTAATAATTATAATGAAACAATTTCAAAAATAGGGAAAAATATTGAGTGATAGCTTAGAAGAAAAAATTCTAGCTAAAACATATGTGTGTGTGAGTTAGGTGTCTAACCAAATTTAACTACTTTTTCTCAGTCTCTACTTGCACTCTAGAAACATTTGAGGCCGGGCGCGGTGGCTCAAGCCTGTAATCCCAGCACTTTGGGAGGCCGAGACTGGTGGATCACGAGGTCAGGAGTTCGAGACCATCCTGGTTAACACGGTGAAACCCCGTCTCTACTAAAAAATACAAAAAACTAGCTGGGCGAGGCGCCTGTAGTCCCAGCTACTCGGGAGGCTGAGGCAGGAGAATGGCGGCGTGAACCTGGGAGGCGGAGCTGGCAGTGAGCTGAGATCCGGCCACTGCACTCCAGCCTGGGCGACAGAGCGAGACTCTGTCTCAAAAAAAAAAAAAGAAAACATTTGAGAAACAAAACTTTTAAGCAATTCTTGTTTCTGCTTAATGTCTCTCTTTTCTGTCTTTGGGCCAAATCACCTATCTTTCCCTGTGCTCTCTATATACCAACCTAATCATCATTTTCTAAATATATTACTTTATTTCTTGCCTTTGTACTTACTTAGCACATGTTCCCAATGGCTGAAATACCCTTTTTC